AGTGAGACAGGGATTCGAACCCACAACCCTCAGATTGCGAGTCGAGCGCCCTAACCACCTGGTCATGGAGAAAAATATGTTCACAGAATCTACACATATTTTTAAATTCTTTTACAAAGCTGGCAGAAAAAAAATTCTTTATACATATGGATACGGCACAAATTCAGAGTCAGAGACAGTTTTCTGCCTAAGAAGGAAAGCTTACAAGTATCACATAAAGTCTGGAAGTAAGACTACATTAACAATATTGTGAGAAGCATGATTCAAATTGAACTCATCAAGAACAACAATTTGTGAAAAATTTAATTAAATAAACCAATTTAGAGTGATATTAATAATTCATAAAGAAAACACAAGGTCAAATTAATGTGATAGGAATTTTAATTATTTAATGATTTCTTCAAGTCTTATTTTTTACAGTTTAAATCAAGATAAACTACCAGATAATCTATAAATTCAAGTTAGTGGCATGTGATATGATTATAAGTTCTAAAGCAAAATAATTATTTAACTCCAAAGTTGAGTCAAATTAAGTAAGCATTAAATTTCATGGTAAAAAATGAATAAAACTATATAGTTTACCATGAAACAATTAATGAAAGATTTTCTGTATAACCAGCAACGGAAAAACAATAATAAGAAGGACAAATTCTTATTATCTTTCAAAGTAGTCAAACTGAATGAAGATAATTCAAATAAGGCATAAGAAAATGAATAAAAACATAAGAATAATCGGAATTATAAGACGGCATTAAAATAAATATTGAAAATGAAACACTGGTGACGCTATTCAATAAATTATAAATTTCTTGGTAAAATTGATAAAGTTTCACTTTTTTCATTCTCTTCAAATACAAAACATGAGTAAATTTCATATTTTAAATTAACATTATTAACAAATATATAGAAATATAAGAATAAATAAAACTTATGCTGGTGATTATACAGCTGTTTTTAACAGGATTTTGGAAAAATATTAACCACTTGAAAATTATTATATCGAACTAATAGTTGATAATATTTTAATTTCTTTCAACACTGGTTTCATTGGAACTCTATGTAAAAGCATGCCAAGTGAGAATAATGATGTGCAATGTTCAAATGAATCTGTGTATTTCCAATTTTCATTAATGACATAGCTTATCATCTAACTTATTTCAAAATAACATACATACCCAAAATCATCATCCATTGACTTGAAAAAAAACTTGAAGTTTGGTCGATTGAGAACATTTTTAAAATCACCCAGGGTAACTCGTTCAGGATGTATTGGTAATTTCACCAAATATGGAGTTTCTTCTTCTTCAACGTGATAGATAATTTTAGTTTCTTCCATTTTTTGTTAGCTATTTTTCATACATGTCCTATATCTATAAATTTAATCTTGATATGATCCAAATTTCATTTTATTCTTAATTTCAGTTAACTATGCCCAGTACTGCTAGAAACACTAACAGTAGTTCTAGAAATACCATCAACTAAGTACCAAATCTTATGACAGACCTTCAACGTAGTAATAGTAATACTTCTAGTTCTAAAGTACTCAAGTCAAGATAGTACTACTTGTACTAGTACCAGTAGGTCGAGTCTGTTTTTCAACAAACTGTGTTACTCACTTATTGTTTGTTTAATGTCATAAAACACTGACATTACATTACGTTGCAGTTAAACTTTAACTTTAAGCTGTAGTCTGCACTGTTTGTAAAAGTTAAGACTCATAATCAGTTTCTGTTCTTCTACTTAAGTTACTCACTTATTGAGTAAAATAGCGTTTATCTTTATGACGTTTTGACTTAACTTTTAAAAAAAATTAAATCATATATTCTGTAATCAAACTATTGTCTCATCAAATTCCTTCAGATATACAGACTCCTTTGCTATTCATAAAACTAAATCCACTTCCACGAAAATAATATTCTCAACAAATATTTGCTGCTAATGCTACTGTTAATATTAATATCGGTCAATGACATTTCCCCGAAAATAAATCGACTTCATAAAGTTCCTTCTCCTCACTTCACAGTTCAAAATGGCGACACAATAGTCTCGAAACCTGAAGTTCATTCAGGAAACAGTTTAAATATTTTCATAAGTTAAAAAACGAAGAAGAGAAACATCATGCGTATATTAAACCATAATTATTGTTACAAATAACAAATAGGCCTAATATTATATTTTATCTAATTAATCATGAGTATTTCTCTGCTTAAGCTTCTTTTTCACACACGCGACACCTAACGGCTGGATTTCAATAATTCAAAGCTTTTGTGCAAGATTCACAGAATTTTATTGTGTTTGTTTGTTTTAGAGCAAAGCCATATTTGACTGTCTGCTGTGTCGACCTAGGGAATCGAACTCCGGGTTTTAACATTGTTAGTCAGTAAATATACCGCTGTCCCAACAGAGAACATTTTAGAAAGAAAACGACATAAATAAAATAAAATAACTAATATAGTCCGTGTGGTTAATGTGTATATATATATATATTTGGGAAAAATCGTATTTAGACATTAGCCACGGGATAATAAAGTTGAATAAAAACAATATACTATTAATTTTAAATAAGAAATCTGCATCAGTTTTGACATTAATATGTTCATGAATTTCTTACAGTTTTATTGGTCATATTTATTGTATTGATTTTTGTATTTTACGTTGCTGCAGGCTGGAAAAGAATTAACGCATAAGCTTTGAACTTTCATTTCTATTGGAAATATATAGAAGATTTTAACTTTCAGGAACTTTCAAACGAAAGAAGTTAATGCGATTATTTTAAAAGTTAATGTTATTGCGATGTCATTTATCTTTAGGTTATAATGACGTTTGAATACTGCAATCGGGAAAAATTTCTTACTCCTTAAAATATTCAATTAGAACGTTTGCTTATTATTATTATTATTTTTTTATTTTTGTTGTGGGGAGGGTTTTCTTGTATTCCTTGATGCATGTTTCAGAGGTTCTTATAAGTTGGGTTATGCAGCTTCGTTCAAGTTAAAAAAAATTCAACTTATGATTCAAAATATCATTTATAGCGAGATTACGCAACTAATGAAACAATATATTCTAATATTTATAAATAGGAACGTAAAAAAACATATATATAATTAGTTATTCTGATCGCCAGGTTTATTTTTAGTTTCTTTCTAAGTACATAGTTTGTTGTGATCGGAAGTTAATATTACCAAGTGTTTCAGTAATTTTAATTGAGACTTAAGCCAATTCTGAGGTTAATTTGCTAAAAAATGTTTTATTGTCGCAATTTTTAAATGTAAGAATCTAATATAACGTAAAAAAACGTCACTAACCCTATAAGCAATTTAATCTCCAATCTCTGTAAAACATTCAGTTTAATCAGTGAAAAGGATAAGCTAAAATGTTCCTGGTGGAAAGCCAGAGAACCAATTGACGATCTACTGATCTTAGCTTAACAACTTTAAATTCACATTATTTGTAAGAGCACATATTAATCAATATGATTTTTATCTCGTTTGCTATTCCTCGGTAAGAAAGTCTGCAGATTTTGTTAATCATAAAGCTACACAAATAACTATCTGTGTCTGCTCACAGCGGGCATCAAAACCCAAATTTTGGCGTTATAAGCCATCAGTCTTACTGTTGCATCACCAGAGTCAGAAAGTTTGTAAGATTTTTAATTTTTACTTGCTAAATGTTATTGAAAAGTGTCTTTATTATTCAGACTATTATGTCAACGAAACAATAATCAATTTTAAAATAAATACAGAATAGGAGTTATGTTTTTCATTCAATTCCTCATATTCGTTTCTCTTTACTTTTACCATGCAGCGAATAAATCTTAGTAACCTTTTCATAATCTTGCTTCGTGTAGAAAATATAACTAAGTCTTAAAACTACAGTTTCGGCATCTTCAAGCTAGGAACATGCCAAACCTCAAGAAGTGTCTTACTCTTACACCGATACCAGATAGGCGACTACAGTTTCGGGATATTTAGGCCAGGAACACGACAGACCACAGGAAATAACAAGAAATGCGACTACAGTTTCGGAAACTTCAGGCTAGGAACCTGACATACCACAAGAAGTGTCTTGCACCGATACCAGAAAGGCGACTACAGTTTCGGGATATTTAGGCCAGGAACACGACAGACCACAGGAAATAACAAGAAATGCGACAACAGTTTCGGAAACTTCATGCTAGGAACATGACATACCACAGGAAGTGTCTTACACCAATACCAAAGTTAACTGAAGTTACTCTATTTTGGTGTGAATTATTATGACGTGAATCCAGTGGCATACATACGTACCAACGTAGCAGCCATAGCATTGCTACAGGGCCCGGGAGTAAGGTGAAAAAAGAAACATTACTCTCGGGCCTCTTGGCCTGCGCGCGCGCGCACACACACACACACATGTAAAATATACGTGATTTAGAGAGTACAGTATGTACATATTGCTCCAAGCACTGTTACAATTTTAAATTAACTTATTAGTTAAATGTTATTAAACTGGTACCAAATTATTATTATTTTGTTACTGGGCCCGTAATATTTTATGTGCGTTACTAGATTTATTACAATATAGTCGAACTGAATAATTTTTCTACTGAAGTGGTGAAAGGAAATATTAAGAGAAACTTAATTTAGTGATGGGCTTTATTACTAAAATATTGTACAGGAGAACAAGACATTGTGGTAAATTATGACGAACTATATCTAAATCATTTATTAAAGTCGTACATTTGTCAGCTGTTCCACAGATTAGCCTACATTCGTTTCTTAGAAATCTGTCATCGTGACATCGAGCCAAAAAAACTGTTTCTTGATGCAATTACAGAAGTTTTAAAGTTGCTGTGTGAATCAGACACATCTTTTCCCCCTCCCTCCAGTTTGAATGAGAATCCTGTTTAATTTTTTAGTATTATAGTCTCTGTTGTATATATATGTGTGTAATTTAATGGAGTAAATTTTTCAGTTTACTGAGGTTTAATAAGCATTTTTTGATTTAATACATCTTGTTCTCATTCTTTTAAAATATTTTTCATTTGATGAATATATAAGGTTTTGCTTTTAAAAGTTTCTTACTTTCATTTTATATGCGTGATTGAAAGATTGTACTGTACACGTGTAAGGTTTCATAGTGCATTCTGTACACGTGTATAAATGTAATCTGATGATGTTTGGCTTACTATATGCTAAATACATTTAAACATTTCTCTTTTCTCTTTAATTGTATGTTTCTAAACACGTGAAACCTGTCAAAACACACACAATTTATTATTGAATATATTTAATTTTGAAATAATTATTATTCAATATTTCATTTGTAAATTCAACCACAAGATAATGCTTCTCAATTTATTACCATTAGCTGGACAAGTCTCACACTGAAACGACAAAGTAACAAGATGCAGGCGTGATTTTTTTCTTTAAAGTTGTTTGAAGGTAGGCGTTATAGTATTATTTTATGATGACGCACGCCTGGGTGTTGGTGTCGAGTGACGAGAAAGGACGTAAGATCTGATGTAATTATTGTTCTGTTTAAAACATAGTTACAATATTGCTTAAGTTAGTCTTGTTTTATTGAAATCATTGTAGCCTTTCGTTTAATGTTTTTGGCCATTTAGCATTAACTTCTTCTATATTATGAACCTTATATGTATATACGTGGAAGAAATACTAAATCAATATCAAAGAGCATAAAAAAAAGCAAGTTGTTTAAATTAAAAGAAAGAAAATTTTTACTATTTTAATCTTTTTTTTGAGTTGTATAAAATAATTTATAATTATAACATTTTTTAAAACTATGTCTTTTATTCTGTAACTACAATTATCTTAATAGTGTTTTAAAATTAGATTAATCAGGCAAAAATAAATAAATAAAAGAGAACACATAAGCGTAACTAACTGTTAAAATAAGTCTTTGCGACGATATTGTGATTGTATTTTGTGTAACATCGAACGCAAAACGAACTTAAAACCATATTATTTATGTTCACAACTGTACAAAAAGGCTGGTAAATACCTACAGTTCTTTGTAAAAGTCGATAACCTTTGGACCCCTAAAATCATGTTGTTTTTTTATGCCAACAACATTACTTTGCTTTTCAGTAAATGTTAATATTGTTAAAACTTGTTTATTATAGTTCCTTGAAGAGATGGAACAAAAGGTTATAGTACCTTTTTCGTCTTCGAAAGTAAGCCTATAGAACTACTGTTTTTTTTTCTGTTCTGTTCTCTTCTTTTCTTCTTTTTTGGGGGTGGGGTAGGGGCAGTAGAGGATTATAGCCTTAAGGCATAGATTTCAAGTAAGGGTAGAATTAGAAATAGTATGAATGTTTTAACATTTTGGTACTCTTAAGTCTGAAACTGGTCTTTTTGATATTTGTTATATACCCTGTTGATAGTGTTGCATAGTTTGTTCAACCACATAATAGTTTGAAATTCACTTTATAAGTAGGAGCGTCGTTTCAGATTTCAATAGGGGAGTGCAACTTTTCTTTAAGGTCTCGGGGAGTTAGGTCCATAAAGGTTAAAATGTAAAATTCAGTATATTATGGACGTATTTGCTCTGATTATTTGCAATAATTAGTACCAATTCAAATAGCGCAGACTACACATTACAAATATCTTGTTCCCAATATAAATGAATAATATTAAAACACATAGGAGGTAATTACTTTCTCCTGTCCTATCCAAATTTCACATCTGTTTGAAACATTTATCTGTAAGTGACCATATAGATCAGTGGTTTGAAAGCTAGAGTTATTGCTATAGTACTTGACATTTAAATAATAGTAATAAATAAAAATTAACTAACTTTTTATTTCTTGTAAGTTGTTAACATCTACTCATATAATGTGTTAATATGTGACATCAAAATCCAAAAATTATTTTTAAAAATGGTAGAGAAATGTCTTGGCATGTTACTCAATACGATTCATTATTCTTACACACATATATACATTTCATAACCAGCTTGCTTTCATCTACCTTTATGTAAAAATGTAGACGCTAGATGTCGCTGTTTAGTAATGTGTTTCTGGATGTGATTTTACTTTTAGTAGTTCATATGCACCAGTCATGTTTGTCTGTGGTCGTTTCAACAACTTTACTGAATGAGGCACAAAGAGAATAGTTTCTTACAGGTAATGAAATATTTTTAACAGGTTATTTTAACGTAAGGAAAATGAAATTGGCTCCTAACTTCATTATTTTTTTAACGTTTAGGCGTAATAAATCACAAGCACTGTATTAATCTTCTGAAATGCAATACAGTTTTGTAACAAAGTGTAGTGCACTAGTACTAGTACTGCCTTGGTTGTTGCTTTTTACTTGTACTAGTTATAGTATTCATGATTTTAGTTGTAAAATAGAGACATGCAGAAATGCAACAGGTAAATCCAATATTATTGCCAACGAATTCGCTAAGTTTAGTACTGGTACAGTTGTAGTATTAACTATTATTATTAATCATAATATACTGGTACAGTGACGATATGGTGGTATTAGGATTCACTTGCTGTATTTCTTTTGTTTTCAAGATTTAGTAAATAGCAAGTTGAAACAATGAATTCAACTGGAACTAATAAATAACGTTGTTTATTAATTATTATATGTTTTTCAATGGAAATTGGCCTAGATAGGATAATTAAGAATAAATGATATATGTATATATATATATATATATATATATATATGTATAATTGCTAGTTAATGTTGTGGTTAGCTTTGATATTTTAATATTTTATCTGAAACTGATTATGTTACATTCAATGAGAAATAGGAGGCTGCTTAAAAAAGTTCCAGTTCCCATTTCATTAACCAGTTTTAACAAAATACTTGTAAGTCATGGTTTAAAACTTACTCTTTGTGTGTGATAAGTTACTGATTTGAGTGCATTTGGCCTGTTAGTTTTAGATCATCGTTCTAACTTTAGATGTGTATTTATCAGCTTTGTTCACTGATGAAAATACAGTGTGAAGCTGTATTACTCCTCAGAATATGATGTTTTTTATTCAGTGTGAAAAAGGATATATTTTTCAGCTCAGAAAGTGTTAATGCTCCTTATTGTACTGTGTAGGACATGAAAATTTAACAGGGAGATAGCAAGGGAATTGTAAAGCTTTTTACATGTTGTAAATGTATACATATTCACATTTTTTTTCTACTGTATTTCAAGACTGTATTCTTGGATACTTTTTTCCCCTTAATTACGTATTTCAAAGCTTTCTCTGAAATTAAAATAATCCTTAATTTAAAATATTTATAGACAACCAGAAAAATATATGACAATGAACTAATTATTCTTATAGCCCCAAAATAAGCTAAATCTTTACGTATTGTAACTACTTCCATTTGTAAATTGTTTACTAGTGGATAACAAAGATCAAGTTACTGTTTTCTATTGAACTTTAACATATAGTTAAAAAGATTGTAAAAGGAAAAATTTCATAAGTAACATTTTTTAAATGAATAGCCTCAAGTACAAGTTAACTTTGTTATTAAAGTATCATACAAAGTCCAAACAGCACTGACCATCATAATTTTGTGAGATGTATTTTTTAATGAAAGCTGTTGAATTATAAATGTTTATAGTAATCAGGATCTTTGATGGTAAATATAACTTTTCAAAACTTTTATTTATAAAAAAAAATATACACAAAATTGTGATCACATATTAATGAAGATCTTTCTTTGTGTATATATTTTACTACGCTACCTGAACCTAGGGTGTTTGGTATAGTTTTGTACTTTCATTATAAGTGTATGTCTAGGCCAAGGGTTCCTAAACTTTTGGCTTGAGATCATTTATAATTTTAGGTACCTTGACTGAGACCCTACTCTCCATCCAATGATTCATAGAATTGGATTAACTTTAATTTAGGTTACTGTTACCTATTTTGTTTTTCTTACAAGTATTCCCTTTTTGATGTTACAAAGGTACACATGTTGGTATTCTTTGTGATGGAATATTTTTGCTTGAACAATTACCCTGTGAAATCACACTTGTCTTCTCATTTTTTTGGAAACCTCTCAATCTTGGTAATCACTGAAGTGAAAGTATTCCATTTGTTTGAGTTAAATTCAAATACTTAACTCTCCATGGACTGGTATCTTCCAAATATTTATATTTTTTTATGAAAATTATCTTGAAAAAGTAGTGAGAGCTTGGACAACTCTGACATTTAGTTTCAGAAATATTTATTTGATCTGCTAGAACATGTTACAATTAAATTGGAATATTTTGATTTAGAAGTAAAATTAATTATTATTTACTTTTTGTTGATCGATTATGAAATTTGACAAACATCACATAAGTGTACCATTGGTAGCTTGTGAACAATGATATACATGTAAACATAATAACTTATGGAAAAGTAACATAGTTATAAGAACTATGCGTAATTGAGAATAGTAAATACACAAGTATGGAAAATTTCAAACAGAATACATACAGTAATATTAAAATAGTGTCACCTGTTGGTGAATGATTGTAATCCTTAGATTTTGCTAAATTTACATCATCTGTCGAGTTGACATGACATATGATGTATTACTGAGCGAGCAGTTGAAGGCCATACACAACAAACATACTAGACTTTTAAAGGAATTTGGCTTTAAAATCTTGGGTACTTAAGAGCTTTGAAACATCCATGCTTGAGTTAAAAAAAAAGAGCTTCTGTAGAGAGTGTGGAAACTTGTTTCTGGCTCTCTGTGCTTGTGACTATGATTTAGTGTACAGCTACGTTGTGAGGAATATTACTATTAACTTCTGATTAGTTACCTACCCGGGCAAAACTAAAAAAATAACTTGGTCATGAATGTAGCTGATTTTATATACCTTATGTTCTTACCTATAAAGATTAGAATAAATTTTTTTCTTCAGTTTGGTACCCTCATTGTTAATGATATTTTCACGTCATAAATCCAGTAACATCTTGCGTG